ATATGAGCGGTGTCCACTTGCGCCGTGTCCAACTTTTCGGTGTGCAACTTTTACCGTGTGCAAATGAGCGGTGTCCACTTGCGCCGTGTCCAACTTTACGATATACAATTTTTTAAAACAACTGTGTCCATTTGCGCCGTGTTCAACATTACGGTGTGAAACTTTTCTGTGTGCAAAATTTCTGTGTCCACATGAACCGTGTGCAATATTCCGTGTCTATTTGCGCCGTGTCCATTTGCACAGTGTCCACTTGTACTGTGTCCAAGTGAAGGCCACTCCCTGAATTATGTGTTATTATGCGCTCAAAAATCGTGTTCTACTGGTGTCCAAACACTTACAATAGTGAAAAGATTTTGTTTCAATAAGGTTTTACAAATTATGCGATTATACGCGAAACATCCTGTCCTTATCAATAGGGGAAAGGGTAAATTTATAATGCTAAGTATAGCATTAAATTTAAATTAAAATAATTTGAAAACATCGCTCTGCGATTTTTAGAATACGTGAATTCATTGACGATAATGATCCCACCTAGGGGAAATCTGTGTTATATGTCCGATAGTAACGGCGCGCAGTACAGGGTGGGATAATACGGTATATGATTCACATAGCAATATAATGGCCACCACCTTGCCAGGTCCTAAAAATATGGCGTTTAAGTTTCAATTTGATTTATATCAGAAAAGGACCGAAAAAATATTAATTGTAACTTATTCAAGATCCTAATACATGCACATAGTCCTGGAAATACCATCTGTTAGGAAACAGCGAGAACTTATTCAAGGTCCTACAGTAAAACGTCCCACATCTGCGCCGGTCGGGACCGGAAGTGACCCAACATCTGCGTTTTTCTCCTCCGTCGCCGGTTCCCCCACTTTTCGGACGGTGCTCGCGCAGCATTGCACGCCATCTGTACTCGTGCGGCTTCGTGAGCCCTTCGGAAATCGGATTGCTCGTCAGATTTAACATAATAACCTGCAATTATCAAATTTTCGAGTGCCACGTTCTTGTTGATATTACATATCATTTCACCGAGACGATATTTCGAGAGGAGTTTGCCGAGACGATGGAAGATCGGACAGGAAAGAAGAAGGTATGTTGTATATGTCGCCCGCATAATTGTTAGGAGAAAAAGCTAAATGTCTCTCGTCGCGATAACAGAAGGCGCAAAAGGTCCACAAGTGGCTGAACATGGACCAAAAGCTCGACATCGTCAAACGCATGGGTGATGGGGAGTTGTGTTCGAGCCTCGCTGCGGAGTTTGGTGTCAGCATACGCACCATGCAAGTGCTGAAAAAGACGAAGGAGAACATCGTGAAGAAGAAGTGTTCCCTTTTAGACCAACAAGGGTCACTGAAAAGGAAGCGCTACACCGGTGTCGTCAGGTCTGACTTCGAGAAGATCATTTATACATGGTTCATTCAGCAGCGAGACACTGGGTTTCCGATCTCCGGGTTCCTTCTAATGAACAAGGCGAGCACATTGGCCGAAACACTGGGACGCCCCAATTTTAAAGCCAGTACTGGGTGGCTGAGGAAGTTCCAGCAGCGGCATGGAATCCGGATGATACGCGTAGACGGAGAGAAACTATCGAGTGATGCTGTGGCTAGCGATGAGTTTACGAAGATATTTAGCAGCTTCATCGAAATCGAAGGAGTGTCCGTCGACAACGTCTATAATGCTGACGAGACAGGTTTATTTTGGAAATGTCTTCCAAGGAAAACGTTGGCTCCACGCAACGAACATTCGGCTCCGGGACACAAACTTGCGAAGGAACGAGTCACCGTAATGACATGCGCCAATGCAACGGGAACGCATAAAGTTCCGCTGCTGGTGATAGGAAAGGCGAAGCATCCGCGGGCCTTCAAAAATGTTAACATACTCCCGGTGCAGTATGTTAACCAAACAAACGCATGGATGGACCGCTCAATATTTAAGGAGTGGTTTACTACGACGTTCATCCCTGCTGTGGAGAAGAAGAACGGGAAGGTCGAGAAACTGATCTTGCTTCTCGACAACGCGAGGTCGCATCCATCGGCTGAAGAACTGACGGAGCTATATCC